CACAAATATGTAAAATGTTTGCTTTTGGCTTAGATATGCTTTAACAGGACCTCTTTTCAGCTTCAGTTTCTTCACTGGCTGTGGGACGCTGGCGTTCAGGATATACTGGTTAGAATCCATCCATGTTTAATCTGCAGTTTATATATATCTTATTACTTTTGGCTGTAGTTCTGCTTAACGCAAAGCAAAAGAATGAATCCACCCTGAATAAAAAACTGACCTACTCCGCATATTGGCTGTGCACCTTGTATGAATGGTAAGATTTTATTATTCTCATATTTTAAAGCTAAACTCCGGGCACAAAAAACATTCATTTAAACCTATTTCTCAATAGCCACAAAGTATATAAATCCACTTTTTGTGCACCAAATACCTTTGAACACTCAGTTATTACCTTGGAAAAATAGCAGTGACATAATCACTGGGCTGTTTATAGCTTGTGCAGAAAGCAGAGCTGTCGGATGGACCCACCCAGCCCCCCAACCTGCAGGCTGCTTGCAGAAAACTGCAAGAGTGGGTGGATACAAGGAGAGCAGCAGTGACTGGTCTTTATTACAGGAAGCTCCTACACAGAGGAAAAGTTTCACACTGGATTACGGTCCAGATCTGGATGAAATGCACAAAGCTCATCAAGATTCAAGGAAGACTACACATGACTCTTGTATTTAGACAATTTCTGCTGATCCCCAAGTTCAGCTTTCAGTAGAGTAGTACAGCATTACCTGCAGAGGATACCTTTTTACCAAGAAAGGTGTCTGTGTGTGTATGAATACACGAATATAGCTATATAGATATACACTGAGTGGCCAGATTATTATGGCCACCTGACTTTTGTAGGCAAATTAGCTATAATTTTGCGCTGAAGTTGCTAGAGGGCCAGCCCATTATAAATAGGGAAGCAGGTTGTTTACCATGACAGTAGAAGCGATTTTTTTCTGAAGATATGGGTAAACAACGCGATTTAACAGCCTTTGAACGTCGGGTGATTGTTGGCGCTCGGAGCCATGGAGCGAGTATCAGCAAAACAGCAGAATTCGTTAAATGTTCAAGAGCAGCTGTTGTTAAAGTGTTTAAAGACTGGACTGTCAGACGAAAATCTGGGTCTGAACGTGCGAATTGTGGCCGTCAGCGACTAGAAAAGTGACAATTTACATCGCCCCCATCTTACTACCTTACTATATATATTTACCAAGATCTTGTTTTACAGTATTCCTTTCTAGAAGTCTCCGCCAGTATATAAGTAGTACAGGGAGAAGATTTGATTCTGATTCATCTTCCACAATGAGCAATGGCTCTGCATGACAACCACTTAATGTACTGAATTACTCACGAGCTCCATAGTATGAATGGCACAGACAATTGTCTCTGCTGTATTATGAAGAAAGCCAGCAAGATTGAAAAAAGGAAATACAGAGAACAAACAGTAATTTACAAAGGTGAACCTAAAGAGCACACATGGAGATGGATTTAAATATTTTATTGACCCATAAGTAGAAACCTTTAAAAAAAATTGAGCCATGCTCCAGCATAGTCGGCAGACTTGAAGAGCTCACGTAGGATTATTTTGGTTGGCGGTGAAGGAAGATGAAAGGAAAGCGGAGATGGCTAATTAGCTGCCATTGTTTACTCTTATTACAGACAATTTCTTTGTGGTTAGAACAAACAGGCGCTCGTTGGAAGCTTGAAAGCCTAAGATAGTATGGCTGGACTCCAGACTCGCTACCTGCTGCTTAGCAACTTGTCCTACACGGCGCCCCTCTTTTCTGTTGTACAATACGGTGGCCACTGGAGTGGGCTGGCGGTAGATAAAGATCCTGCGCACGCACTCGCACAGGGCGGCGTATGAACAATTCGGAGCGCAAGTGAAAAACTTCTTGTCTCGCTTTGATGCCTGAACATAACCTGGAATACAAAAACAGATAGAACAATAATTAAAAATACAACAATTTTGGGATGTATTAACCACTTCCCGGCCGGCCGTTGTAAAAAAACGTCCGCCGGGAACTTCCTGGATCTGAGAGGGCGTCTTCAGACGTCCTGCCCCGCCCCACGATCAGACGCGCTCCCAGCGTGATCACGGCCCGGCAACTGTGCTTGCACTGTCCATTGGACAGTGCTGTTTCTATAACAAGGTATAGAGCCAGTAAAATCGGCTCTATACCTTGCGATCTAGCTGTGACAAATCACAGCTGTCACAAATGTAAACAAAGGCTGCAGTTTGCAGCCTTGTCTCTATCTCCTCTCTCACACACCGTTGGGTTGTAAGAGAGAGGAGAGAGAGAACTTCAAAGATCAGCCAAAGTAAGAATTTAAAGTGATACACACTGATATACTCTGATACACTGTTACACAGTACATTCACAGTCTTATCAGTGTGATTCATAAGTCAGTCGGTGTCATCAGCACGATTCAGTGTCAGTGCGTTTCAGTGTCGTCAGTGCCAGTCGCAGTGACATCAGCACAATTCACAGTGTCAGTGCGTTTCAGTGTCAGCCGTGCCAGTCGCAGTGTCATCAGCACTTTTCACAGCGTCAGTGTGTTTCAGCGTCATCAGTGCATTTCAGTGCATTTCAGTGTCATCAGTGCCACATTTGCAGCACATATCATCAGCACCCAGTGCCAACAGAAAACGCCAGTATCTAGCATCGTGCCACCCTACTAGCACCTATTAGCTTGTGACGCTCACAGTACCAGTGTGATCCAGTGCCCCCAAGTATACGCAGAAATGTCCCAAAAAAAGTACAGCAGTGAGGAGGCATTTCAGATCCTCAGCATGTCTGGTGAGAGTGACGGAGACGCCTCAGATTCTGGATCAGAGTACAAACCTGTGGAGGGCAGCTGTTCAGTATCCTCTGACTCAGAAGAAGTAGTTGTGCCCACTAAAAGAGCCAGACTGCTGCCTGTAGTGACCCATCTGTGATACTCATCCCATAGAGAGATTGGATGGACAATGGTCCATCCAAAACACCAGTCCGAGTCATCCTCTGAAAACAGCTGCACTCCTGGAACCACAGGTACTGTTTTGTTTACCTTTTGTCAAGCTTCCTGTACTTCATGGTCACTGAACATAGCATTTTGTATAATTCCTGCAGTTAGCCAAGTACCAGAATGTCTGCTTGGCTTGGGGGAATGGGGTCATACCATTCCCATTGCTTTCCAAAATGGGGTCATTGTGTGGGAGGTTCTATGGTCCTGGCACTCCAGGGTCTCCAAAAATGTAACAGGTAGACAGGGGATCAGATGATTAATTTATGCCCCTTGAAACCCTCATGGTGCTCCTTGGATGTTTGGCCCCTCCATGTGGCTAGGGTGTGAAAAGGTCTCATATGTGTGGTATCCCCATACTCGGAAGGAGTAGCAGAATGTGTTTTGGAGTGTAATCTAAGTATATATAAGTATCTAAGTATACCTATACTGTGTATAAGAAATATCTTATTAACTGACAACTTTGTGTGCAAAAAATAAATTTCCATTTTCTTTCTTCATTTTTCAAAAACTTGAGGGAAAAAAATGAAATCTTCAAAACACTCACAATGCCACTATTAATACATTGGGGTGTCTGCTTATCAACGATGGAAAATTGCTAAATCAATCCAGGTAATGCCGCAGTTATGCCAAATCATAAAAACCCCACCTTAAACCGTGTACCTTAAAGCCCAAAATAGTCATTTATACATCGCACTGGGTGTGAAAATTATCGTTATAAAGCTGTATGTCATGTGTGGAGGGCGGCTGCAAAGTACAAAAATCTTACCTTGCAGCATGCCGTCTCCTACACATAACGCCAGCCTTCTGGGTGCTGTGGGGTGTGAGAGATGCGAGCAGTGAAGTGCTCTGGTCGCATTCTTGCCCCCTGCTCACTACTTGCCCATTCACAAAATGCCTTGGATTTTTTTTTCTAGGTATGCTACATCCCCATACCCTCCTCCAATCACAGAATGCCTTGTATTAGTTGAAAAAACAAGGAGGGGATTTTATCAAAATCAGCTTCTCTCTTTAATTTCAAGTCTTATGCTGGGCACATACCTTACAACCATCGCAAGATAGGCAGATCATACATTTTTTTAATTACCTTACCACCATCGCAAGACTTTGGTCTGGCGATGGTGGTAAGGTAATTAAAAGAACGTATGATCTGCCTATCTGGCGACGATCGCAAGCCGCGCCCCCCTGAGGGGCGGGCTTCCGATGAGCGCAATGCCGAACGGGCAGTGTGCGCTTCCGTACACCGGCCCGTCCGGCTTTCATCTTACGAACATGCTACACACCCGGCGAACATCGTACGATGCTCGGTGGGTTTTCGAACATGTTCGTAAGTTAAAAGTCGTGCGACCTTACAGTAGTAGAGGTCGCACGGCTTCCACACACCTTACGATAATCGTACGATCGCTGGATTTCCCGCGATTATCGTATGATTATCGTAAGGTGTGTGGGCACCCTTAGCTAAACAAACTTACGAGAGAAGCTGATTGGTTGCCATGCACAGCTGCTCCACTTTTGATAAATTCCTCCCAAGGTATTTTGTGAATGGACAGGTAGAAGTAGGGGCGAGTAATGGGACTGGAGTGCTGAACGAGTCACAGCTCCACTCCTCGCATTGCCTGAAAGACGGACGTTAGGCGTAGAAGCCAGCATGCTGCAAGGTAAGATTACTCTAAATTAACATTGTTTTCCCCAGAGTTTGGCTTTATACACATATTTTATATAATATATTGCTGTCACATTCAGCAGGATTCTCACAAAAAGAAAGCTCATCTGTCCCAAAAAATGTATTTCAGTACAGCGTTGTATGACTGAATTAATGTCAAAGTACCTCATTGGTGAATACTGAAAAATGGCCTGGACATGACTTTAATACCCCGATCTTCAAGGTGGTTAAAATAAGTCCTTTTAGCCCCATAGACATTTTATTGTTTTTATTTGGATCAGACCAGACTATGACCCCGATTTACAAAAGGAGCAGAGGAGGTTTACTTATCTTAGTAAATGAGGTAAACAAAGTAAAAATTCCTTCTGCAAAGAATACAAAATCATGTGCCGGAAAAAAAAGAAAAACTGATTTTTGCTTGCACATGATTGGATAATTCACTTTGCAAAGAGAAAATGTATTAAATGTTTATACCATTGGGAAAAATTTCCTTCTCTCCCAGTCCCACAAACACAAAAGGAAGAAGGAGAAAATCTCCCAAAGATAGAGGAATTCCATGCTAAAGCTAGCCATACACTATCCAATTGTACTCTGTCCTTTAGATCTACCAATAACCATGTAGTACAAGGGCCTGCCTGATTTGATACAATTTGAATGGACTGTTTAGAAGTGTCCTTATATTAGTAAATCTAAAGTCTACTGTACACAGATCGTACAATCAAATTCTATAAGGTATGACCAGCTTTAGACAGCTGTCCCATAACATCTGTCCAGTGGTAGATTTATGTTGCTTTTATCTTTTAAAAGGAGAATTATGAGGCGAGTGATTTTCACTCAGCCACATAATCTGAGCCGACCTGTGACAATGAAACTGTCACAGGTCGGCTCAGTAGATCGGGAAGTGAGCGAACACATACCGTCGCTCGCTCACTTTTCGACCTATCCCTGCAGAGAGCCGTGACTGTCACTCATGGCTCCCTGCAGGGATTCTCCCCCTCCCCTGTCCGATCCTCCAGCCCTGACCGGCGGAACGGTTGGGGGAGGGGGCGGGCACAGCTGGCTCTGCCTCTGGATAGGCAGAGCCAGCTGTCAATCCCGCAGCTCGGTGGATCTCGACAGCAATGTCGGGATCCGTCCCGGCTGCGGCGTCTCAGTATAGCTCGCGGTATACTGAGCTTTGGGTCACGGGAGAATGGTATTTTATGTTCTCCCGTGACCCTTAGGAGAACTATGGGGAAAGGCCCTGACCCCATAGTTCTCCTTTGATCATTACTGATTATATATCACAATGCCAAGAACAAGTAAAAGCTTCCTAATATAGGAGGCCCTTAGGTGACTGACCTTGGCTGTAATAACAATTTTGAATAATAATCCAGGGTGCATAGAGGAGAGGTACAGCAAATGATTATCTATTTACTCAACATGACTGCATTTAGTTTTTTCTCCAATCGGCTCAAATGTTATGTTATATCTGACCCAATAGCATTTCAAGTCATTTCTTTTCTGGGTTGTCAACCAATATTTATTGACAGAACATTTTGCACCCAGCCCACCGTGGGTAAAATACCACGTCGATACACAATGGATCTGTGCCGCTCATCTACCAAATGACAGGATCAGATCAGACTGCACGCCTATAAATAACGAGCTATTACACTGATATTAATATTTGTACACATTTCTCTTTTTGCTCAGGAACATTTTCCTTCTATTAGGGTTCAGTTGCCATAGAGACACAATAATATCCTAAAATGATTCAATTGCAGCAGCAACTGATGAACCTTCGATAGGACCTCATGACCATCGGGGAAGCTCAGTTACGGGTAATGGTCCTCGTTAGACAGTGTTATGATTCAGCCATAGACTCTCTGCGTAGCAGTCCGCTCATCTAACGCACCTCACACACACCAATCTTATTTTCACACCATCGTAAACACTTTTCCTCTGATTTGCAGATGTCAGACGAGAGTTGAAGATAAGGAAACAGAATCATGGCGTTATATGGTGAAATGTGGAAGTTGCACATGGCACTGGCTTAATAATCAGATACGGTAATGCGCAAACAACTTATAATTGGCATCGCTGCCATCTGCTTAAAGAAACAACAAAATCACAATATACATCTATTAAACTGTAAAAGTGATACAGCAACACCAGAGCATAGCTGTAAACTGGGTGATTGAGATAATAGAAATATATACACATACATACATACATACATACATACATACATATATTTATATATATATAAGACGTCAAAAAAACCAAAAACGCAGTATTGCAGTGTGCAATGATACCTTTCTTATTGGACTAACAAAATATATAAAAGACAAGCTTTCGAGAGTGAACCTCTCTTCTTCAGGTCAGAAGCAATACTGAGCAACATGACAGTTTTTCTTTGACACACACACTCACTGTATATATTGCATCAGAGAAAACTTCAGTTGTCTTTTGGGTTTCTCATTTTTATGCACCGTAGGCATTATTTTAGGAGACCATAGCTAAGCCTGCCCTTAATTCAAAGAGACGCTGTTGCTTCACTATTTATTTTGACAGTATTTGCAGTATTTGCATTTAATGTACTTGGTCATTTGGTGAGGAGGGAGCATTAAGCAAGCTTCGCGGCCAATCAGGAAGCCGGACGGCGTGTAATGACTTGCCGGCCAGCTTCCTGATTGATCAGGAAGCTGGCCAATCATGAAGCCGGTAGGCAAGTCATTTGACCCACCCTGGCTTCCTGATTGGCTAGAAAGCCGGCTCCATGCTTCCTCGTCACCTGGTGATGGCTAATTGGGAAGCCGAGTCATTACACGCCGCCTGGCTTCCGTAATGGGACTTCCGGTATTGGCGAGTACCGAAAAAAAACTTACTCGATACTGGAAAACCGATATCGGTGCATCCCTAATAAAAAGGTTTAGTGCTTCTTGTTTTAGACTGTAAGCTCTCACAAGTGGGGGCCCCTCTAATTCTCTTGAATAGAATTGAATTGTAATTGTACTGTCTCCCCTTGTTTTGTAAAGGGCTGCATAAACTGTTGGCGCTATATAAATCCTGTATGATGATAATGATAATAATAATGAATTGCACAGCACTATCACTGGCCACTTACCAAGAGCGTTGAATGTAGCAGCGTGCTCCCACAAATCATCACTGGGCGCTGGACGCGGTTGCCACAGCAACGCATCCACATCGTGTCTTAAGGAGAAGCAAGGCATCAGCTCTGGGGTCGCTACTAAAGAAAACAGAAAATGGTAGCTGCCGAACGCAAGCCCGCCCCTCAAGGGTGCGGGCTTGCGATGATCGCAAGTACGATCTGCCTGTCCAAGATGGGCAGATCGTACGTTTTTTTAAGTACTTTACAACCATCGCAAAACTAAGGTCTTGCGATGGTTGTAAAGTGTATGGCCACCTTAGGAGTTCTCACTGTGGAAGGATTTCCTCTTACTTCCTGCTGTGTCTCTGGGACAGGAAGAAGAGAAGAATCTCTCCGATGGCATACAGACAGAAAAAAAAAACAGACAGGGGTTTTTAAGGTGTATCTAAACCCAATGTTGCATTTTGTATATTGCAGCTTACCAGTCCTAATGTGATGGCTGCATTAGTTACATTATATTCATTCTGAATTGAGAAAGCTGGTTGGATGACCAGTGAAACGTCTTCAAGAAAAATACAGCAAGTCCAGTTGCCTTGACTTATTTTTTACAGATATACCATGACCTGGATGAATGAGAACCTTCACAGACATTATTTTCAGGCTTTTTTACCCCCTTTATTTTCCTGCCAGTAACACACTTCCTGTGCTGGGGTGACAACGCTCACTCACTGTATCTATGGAGGAGCAGCATAGTCACTCTTGGAAGGGACTATATTCCCCCTTTTCCATAACATAGACGGAAGGGGTTCTGTAGTCAGAGATATCTGGGAACAATGCAACAGATAAGAGTGAAGCACAGGCAGAGAACATAGGAGGTCGTGAGATTTCTGGCAGGATCAACAGGAAATGTTTCACTTATAGAACAAATATAACAAATTGCTTTTAAATGGTATATTTACCAGGCCATAAAGAACCAAATAAGAGACAATTATTGTCAGGGTTTATATTTTCTTTTAAGTAGAGCTATATTATCACCAAAAATATATAGGGGGGGGGGGGTTATCAAAACTGGAGCAGCTGTGCATAACAACCAATCAGCTTCTCTCTTCCGTTTGTTCAGTTACGGTTTGAAAATAAAAGAGAGAAGCTGATTGGTTGACATGCACAGCTGCTCCAGTTTTGATAAATCCCCCTAATAGTTTTTAGACTGTAGGTTAAATAGGACTGCTTTTTCTTGTTAAACACAGTTTATTCCGTACGTTGTTCATGTTTTCTCTCTGCACGTTCGGTATGTTCCAGACAGAAGCTGAACATCACAGTTTTACTGTAGGTAGCTACGGCAGAATGTGACCATGTGCTTTGGAACAGCTCCTTGAAGCTCCTAGAACCACAAAGAGGACCTGTGACCTCCAATATGCTATCACATAGAGAGGTTGTTAACCCCCTATGTCAGGGCTCAAAATTTCCACTCGCCAGCTCGCATTTGGCGAGTGGAAATAAAGAGAGGGCGAGAGGAAATTCAGTCAGGCACGCGGTCACGGATCGCGTACCTGACTATGAGAGCAGTTGCTTCTTGCCGTCCTGTCCTGGCTCCGTTACTTTCGATCGATCACCGGAGCTCTGACAGTTCTGAGCCCCGTTCGCAAGGATGGATTAGTAAGGTCTGCAGACCTTACTGCAGAGAACGGAGCTCAGAACTGCAGAGCTCCGGCCAAAAAGGAACGGAGCCAGGACAGGACAGCAAGGAGCGGCTGCTCTCATAGTCAGGTACGCGATCCCGGTCTGTACCTGACTTAATCACGAGGGATCAGATTCGTGCCTACTCCCTGCATAACGGCAAGCAGGTGAGGGGGCTCTTTTATTTGATGTGGGCTGGGAAGGGGGAGGCAACGGGGGG